GCTGCTGGGGACCGAGCACGGGGCTCCGGCCGGGTCCGCGTTCCCGCCCGCCGCGTCCTGCCGAGCGACCCTGGTGAGTCCCTGGCCTTCTCCGAGCGGAGCGTCCTTGGTCACTAGAGGATGAGAATGGAGCGCGTACCTTTGAGGGGTGTTGTGAGGAGTACAAAAATAAAGTGCTTGCCCTGGCCGGATAGTTCAGTTGGTTAGACTGTCCCCCGGGTACGCCGTGGTTGCTGGTTTAATCCCCAGTCAGGGCACATATAAGAAGCAACCAATGAGTGCACATATAAGTAGAACAACAAATCTGTTTCTCTCCCCTCTGCCTCATCTCCCTCTCTCTCTAAAATCAATAAGAATTAAAAACAACAACAACAAAGTGCTTAGTGTGTAGTAGAGAAAGGGACTGGAACCAACCTGAATACATTACTCGTATTAGTTCAGAACCTGGAATACATCCAAACCGCGAAATCTTCCAAAGCAGCTAATAATGAAGCAGCATTGTTAGGTGGAAAAGCATATTACAAAATGGTTTGTATAATAAGACCTCATTTATGTGAAAACACACAAAAACAACACTTTTTTTTCATTTCTATAGTTACATTTTTAGTAAATACACAGGGAAAGGTCTGGGAGGTCAAATGTCAGGCTGTTTAGTTCGCAGGCCGGCGCTCAATCCATGGAGCCACACCAGCCAGGGCGAATGTCAGACCGTTAATGGGAGGGTACACAGCATTGTGGAATGGAGAGTTTCTCCTTTATGTATTTCTGTATTGTGTAAATCCCCCCATTTTTATTACAATGGTTCGTGTCACTTTCATATAGAAAGAAAAAAAAAAACAAAGTTCCAAAATACACACTTTTCAGGACTTTTGTGAAGACTGGCAATGTAAGGTATAAATATATGTCATATATTCATATGTACCTGTGGGTAAATGGCTTAGGAAGGTGTCTGGTGTCTGCGAGCCCATTGCTGACACCCCTGGGCCACATGTGTTTGGAATTGAAAGGTTTTTAAGTTTGAGACTCATAGATACAGAGAACAGACTGACAGCTGTCAAAGGAGAGGGGTAGGGAGCTAGGTGAGAAGAGTGAAAGGATTAAGTAAAGAAAAAAAAGAAAGACTTCCAGACACAGGCAGCAATGTGATGAATGCCGAAGGGGCGGGGGTGGTAGAAGGAGGTAGAAGAAGATAGAGGGGGATAAATGGTGATGGAAGGAGACTTCGCTTCGGTTGGTAAACACCATACAGATGATGTATTATAGAACTGTATACCTGAAACCTGTATAATTTTATTAACCAATGTCACCACAATAAATTCAATTTAAAAAAAAGTTTTCAAATTTGAGAAAGATAATACAGTATACATGGTATATAGGTAACCCCTGCCAGCAGAATCTAGGGCAACACTCAGTAGTCAAATGTGCTAATTTTGTTTTTAATTGAAGTACAGTACACATACAGAAATAGGCATGGTAAGGACAGTTTGATGAATTTTTACAGAGTAGACAAATACATTAATATTTATGCCATAAAACATACAAACATTTACATTAAGCGGGATAAATGGAGATTACAAACTTGCTCATTTCAGTAGACCAGATGGTAAAAACCTGGGAGTTTTGGATTTCAGAGCTGAGGATAAGGCGCTGTGGACCTGTATTGGTAGGAGAGTGTCACATGAACAAGGCATTACTGGAGAGCCTAAAAAAGGCCGCAGGGCCGGTAAAGGATAGAAGCTAAAGTCGCTGGATGTCCCTCCGGGCTCGTATTTGCTCCTGTACCTCCCCTGCTCCTGCTATTTTGCTCTTTCCCCAGGAGTCCAGATGCTGGCCCAACTGCCACAGGAAATCCCTCTGGGAGACTGAAGGGCAGGCTCCTGGGTTGAGGCCCACCAACCCTGAGCCTTATTAGGTCAGGGGAATGGCAGCCCCCTTGGAGCCTCAGGACCAGGCCCCAGGGGAGGGAGAAGGGCTTCTAATTGTGAAGGTGGAAGATTCCTCCTGGGATCAGGACTCTGCCCAACAAGAGGATGGCAGAGATTCTGAGGCCTGCCGCCAACGCTTCCGGCAGTTCTGCTACAGGGATGTGGGTGGGCCCCATGAGGCCTTCAGCCAACTATGGGAGCTCTGCTGCCGCTGGCTGCGACCTGAACTGCGTACCAAGGAGCAAATCTTGGAGCTGCTCGTGCTGGAGCAGTTCCTGAGTGTGCTGCCTGGGGGTGTCCAGGACTGGGTGCGGGAGCGGTGCCCAGGGAGTGGCGAGGAAGCTGTTGCCTTGGTGGAGGACCTGCAGAAACAGCCAGCGAAAGCATGGCCGCAGGTGAGGGGCCCCTCCCACGTGAGTCTTCCAGGGGCGGTGGACACTCAGAGCCAGAGGGAACATTCACAGGCTGGTGTTGCCTATCTGAAAGACACTGTCCAAATGAATATGGTTTCTTTTTGGTGGCTTTGGAGGGCAGAGCATGACCAAAGTGGGCATGTTTCAGGAAGGCAGCTATTAGCTCCATGTAGGCTCTGCAAACGTTTATTCATATTCTGCTCTAGGCCAGGCACTGGCGATACAGTGATGTGTGTAGTGAGAGCACCAGAGGGGGCATGAGAAGGTAGAGCTGTACATGTGAACCCTGCTGTCTTGTGGGGTGTTGGGCCCTTGACACGAAGCATCTGGGGATTTGCTAACGAGTGACTGGGGTGTGGGGTTCTGTCCTTCACAGGAAGGTCTCCCCGAACTCTCCCTTGCTAAATGGCTCTGTGATTCTATCCTTTGGGTGCTGGTTCTTGCCTTGTGCTTGATCAGGGCACATGGCAATGCCTGGTATCACGTTCTTCTCTGGACTTTTCCTGGGGCCCTATATTGATCTCTCCCCAAACCCCAGCCTCCTGAGGGATATGTCCTATGTCTCCTTCCCAGGGATTAAACTCTGTCTCCCCTGTCTGGTCTCGGTGCTGATGAGCATGTTGTGGTTCCTGCACAGGATGTGCCCTCAGAGGAGGTAGAACCCGAGGCTGCAGCCCAGGGATCCCAGGCCAAGGGACCTCCCCCAAAGGCGGGGGCACAAAACCAGCCTCCTGTACCTTGGGAGCAGCAGAGCCATGGTGGTGAGTAAGCTTGTAGGCTTTGGAGCGGCTGGGCAGGGCTCTGGCTCCTGCCAGGGCATTGCCCTAAGAGTAGCAGGAAGGTACTTGTTCCATGAAGCTTAGGCATGTTTGTGCATGTGTGTGCATGCACGTGTGCAGAAGAGTGTGTGGGGCTTCTTACTCCTAGCTTGAGCTGGCCTTTCTAAGGCTTGTTCTTTTCTTTCAGTCCAGTTTCCTGCACTTAAAAAGGGGAGTACCAAACAAAAAACAAATGCCTGCTTTGCCTCTGAGATCCGTGTGAGTTACCAGTCTATTTGTTCCCTCGGAGGCCATTCGTACTTGCCTTCTTGAAGCCTCTTCCATCCACCTTGCTCCTGCCTGGGCCCATCCTGTTTCACATCCCAACCCGCTTCCTCTCCTCACTCATGGATGCCTGGGGAGTCTTGAGCAAGGCATCTCTGAATGGGGTTTCTCTCATTTCAGGGACCTGTGACGTTTGGAGAGATTCCCTTCTATTTCTCCCAGGAAGAATGGGGGTCCCTGGACCCTGCTCAGCGGGATCTTTTCTGGGACATAAAGCGGGAAAACTCCCGGAATGTTGCCCTGGGTAAGCAGTAAGTGTAACCAGGACCCTTGGGATCCCTGGCTCCTTTGAGCTGGAGGCAGCAGCCTCCTTGGGGAGTCCTAGCAGCAGAGAGAGGGTGCAGGCAGACCACATTCTTCTGCACATCCTGCTGGAATCCTCAGTCTTCCTCCTCACTCCCTGTCTGCTGGCTCCAAAGTGGGCTTTCCTCAGCTTCCTTCCAGAACCCTGGCTAATTTCTTTTTTCATGTTAATGTTCATTTTTCTCTGGCTGTGAACATGTATTAAAATACAATGGGTGCTTGCAATGTACTAGCACTGTGCTGAGCATTCATATAAACATTTTGTCAGGTGATTCTCACAGCCTGGTGCATAAAAATGTCCTTGTTTTATAGACGGGACCTGAGACTCACTCAGATCAATGGATACCAAAGGGACAGAGCTGGGACTCAGTCCAAACGGTGGTCGCAAGGCCCCCAGGCTGCCCTGTGAAGAGGTGCTGGTAGTGAAGCGCATACGGTGCACCAAGGCCTGGGCCCAGTGCATTATTGGCCTCACCCTCAGGTCCCTCTCCAAGCCAGGGCCTTTCTGAGAACTATTTGGGGATCATCTCATTTAATCCACATGACTCAATGGTGTGGGCTAGGATCCCTCTGGATCCAACTCTGTTTTGAGTTAACAAGACAAGAGCTTGTGTAGTGAGAGGAACCACAGTAGCTGAACCCATGTGGGTCCTCAGTTTCTGATAATGAATAGTGAGAGTTTGGATCATTTATGAACTTGACCTTCATCTATTCAGTTTTAGAGTTGGAATAGCCAAGGTTCAGAGGGTGGACTGTTGGATCCCAGTGTGGAAGAGAGGCATAGATTGGTTAGTTGTATAATTAGTAAGTGCCACTGGGGTTGGATAAGCGGACTCCTTGCCTCTGCCCTGTTTCTCTGCCAGCCTTTTATCATGTCCCCATTTTATGAACGAGGAAACTGAGGTTCAGGTCTGTCCCACCCAGGACTTTCTCACAGCCAAGGTACTTGCCACTGAGCCCTGTTTCTGCCTTGCCTCAGCTCTGAGCCCAGACCAGATGGGACTGAAGAGGCCACCTCCTCTCCGCTTGCAGGTTTGGGGCTCAAGAGCCAAAGGGGGCCATCCCGGCTGGAGGAGGCGGTGAGGGTGCTCCCAGGCCAGGCCGGCAACGATGTGACTGTGGCCTGGAGCCCTGAGGAGGCTGAGTCCTGGGAGAGTGAGGCCCGGCAAGGGGTGCCTTTGGAGCCGGTGGCCGGGTCAAGGCGGAGACGGCCGCCCACACGCAGGCGCCAGTTTCGGGACCTGGCCGCCGAGAAGCCACACAGCTGTGGCCAGTGCGGCAAGCGCTTCCGCTGGGGCTCAGACCTGGCGCGCCACCAGCGCACACACACAGGGGAGAAGCCGCACAAGTGCCAGGAGTGCGAAAAGAGCTTCCGCAGCTCCTCGGACCTGGTGCGCCACCAGGGCGTGCACACAGGACAGAAGCCTTTCTCCTGCTCCGCCTGTGGCAAGAGCTTCAGCCGCAGCGCCTACCTGGCGGACCACCAGCGCATCCACACGGGTGAGAAGCCCTTCGGCTGCAGCGACTGCGGCAAGAGCTTCTCGCTGCGCTCCTACTTGCTGGACCACCGGCGTGTGCACACGGGCGAGCGGCCCTTTGGCTGCGGCGAGTGCGACAAGAGCTTCAAGCAGCGCGCCCACCTCATCGCCCACCAGAGCCTGCATGCCAAGATGGCCCAACCCATGGGTTGAGGGATGGGATAAGGGTTGGAGGGATCTTCTGGGAGGCGGAGCAGCAGGATGGCCAACTGCTACTTTCTGCAGCCACAACCCCTACTGCCTGCCCTGGAGTGCCCCAGGACCAGGTCATCACTCCCAAGTAATGGAACTCCCCTATGGCTTCATGGCCATTCTTCCTGCCCTGGGGGTTTCTCTTGCCCTTTGGCTTCCTAAAGCCCCAGCACATTCCTGGCAGGTGGCTTTAGTATGGGAGACAGGCTGAGGCAGCAGGGAGTGTGAGGACTGTCAGGGCCTGGGGTCCTCCATCTAAGAAGCCCCTCAGCCTTGCTTGCTCTGTGGCTCTTTGTTCCCCACTTTCTTGGATGGGTCCATGGGCCAGGCCTCCTGGCCTGCTAACCTGTGCCTTCCTGCAGGGGTGGAGGACACGTTTTCACCACTAGGGTGCTGACAGGCTCCAGGAGGGACAGTCCACCCACACCCGTGAGAATCTAGGTCCTCATAAGGCCAAAAGGGCTTTCTGGCCTCCACTCCCTCCCATTTCTAGGCCATTACCACTCTGCCCTTTCCTGGCAACAGGGAAACTGCCCAGCACTGAACTCCACCCATTTCCCCCTTGAGAACCATTCTCTGCTGAGGCTAGTGGTGGCCTCAGGGGCTGGAGGTCTACTGTGCAGACTGAACAGACTAATGGAAATCCACTGGCCCCACACTCACCTGCAGAGACGTGGAGTTTATGGTATTTGACAGTAGCACTCTGTCAGTGCTTTGTCACTGACTCATTAGGCACTACATTCCATGTCTGCATCGTCTGCAGATTGGCATTCACAGGAACAACCACAGGTTCTCCAAAGGAGCCTGCCTCAGCAAAGGAGCAAAAGGGTTTGAATTAACATGGAGACTGCCCTGGCCGGTGTGGCTTGTTGGTTGGGCATACAATAATATCTTTCTCCCTTCCCCTCTCAAAAATAAAAACACTTTAAAACTTCCTCCAGGTTCTTCTCTTAGCTGGGTGGGGGAACCTAGAATTTGTACCCCTTGGCCTCCTGATCTGGTAGTCCGGGGGCGGCTACCAGTCGTAGCTACATTCTTGACTTCAGGTGGGCTGGGCCCAAAAGGGCAGCCATGAGCCTTGGGACTCTAATCCTGTGTTAGCCAGGGACAGCTCAGGATGAGAGCCAGTACCTCCCTGTCCCAGCTGAACAGGACTTGGGGGTCTTCTCTAGGCCGCTCCCTTTCTCCATATTGGTGAAATGAGGAAACAGGCTTAGAGATAAGGTGACTGGTCAGGGTGGTGGTGTGCTCAAATCCGTTAGGAAAAGAGGGCTGCTGAATCAAAGTGGACCCTGTCCCTGTTCTCCACCTAGCCCTTGACATCTGACCACTCCTGTCAGAGCTCCTCCCATCCCTGCTGGTGGCGGCCTCAGCAGGCTCACTTGAAGAGTGGCGGGGCTGGCTGAGACAAGATGCTCTGTCCCCTGGTCTGTGTGCCAGGCTTTCTGCCCCCTGGGCCTTTCCTCAGCCAGCCCCCCCATTTAATACTTGCTTCCCCGCGAGGTTGCTGGGACAGACCACACTTCCCAGATGAAGAAACGGGTCTTACCATGCACAGCTGACTCCAGTTAGGGGTTTCTACCTCTGGGATGGTATTCTTCATTCCCTGTACTTTACGCTTGAGGCTACTGTGTGCGTGTATGTGAGCACCTTGCATGAGTGAGTGGGGGGACGGGGCAGGAACAGTACAAACTTTTTTGAAGCTGATTGCTGGCTCAGAAGGGAGACATTCGGGTGTAATGAGATCAGATAAGAGGTGGCCCAGGAGCTAAGAATAGGATTGGGCACAGGCTCTTGGCTCAGGCAGGGGCATGTCGGTGCCAGCCAGGAAATAGCCTGCTGCACCCAAGGAGCAGAGCAAGGAGTGGGGCCCAGGACCCAAGGTTCCAAGGAAGGGGGCAGAGTCCAGCTCAGATCATAAGTAGCTGATAGGTCAGAGATCAGGGAGAAGGCAAGAATTGGGACCCAATGCATTGGGTGAGCTCTATGCTCAGAAGAAGCACCTGACACCCATGGCCTTCTTGGTGTCCGGGACACTGCGGGTGGCTGCGCAGGTGGCAGATGCTCAAGACAGCCTGGGAAGAAAGGTAGTGGGAGGTGCTGCCTGGCCCAACCCACGCCCGGCTCCCAGCTGAGCCCCACCAAGCACGACTTTGGCCTTGCCTCCCCAGGGGAAGTACGGCATGCAGGGTCCAAGAGTGGCCCTGACGCTCAGCAGCCCTGAGGTATCGGCCTCTACAGTGGCCCTCCTGGAGGGTGTGTTCCAGACCCTGGGCTTTGAGAGCTGCTGGAGGAGGGAGGCCTCGGTCCAGGTGAGTCCTAGCTTTCCTGCTGCCTCCATTCTCAGCCCCATGTGGGGCCTCTGCAGACCCAGACCTGCCCTTCATCCTTGCCCCAGGACTTCCTTGAGGAGCTGACTGGGTTCTGGGAACAGCTGGTTGCCCATGGGGCTCCTCTGGGCTGTGTCCTAGTGGCCTTGGTGGCCCCCAGTGGACAGCTGAGGCAGCCACAGAAGTTGGTAAGGGAGCTGAGTGGCTGTGGGGCCCTGCAGGGCTGCCCAAAAGTCTTCCTCCTGCTCTCAAGTGCTCCTGGAGGTGAGTGACTGGGCAGGGACCGCTGTTGTGGGGCAGTGCAGATCGGCAGTGGGTGGACAGGAGACTGAGCCCTTCCCTCCAGGCCAACGCTGTGTTTTTCCACCCAGCTGCCCGCAAGCCCGGAGCCTTCCTCACTAGCCTGGGTGAACTCTGTCGCCGCTGTCCTCACTGGTCCCTGCTGCAGCTGCTGACAGAGGTGGGAGCCCCAGATGGGGAGTCCCAGGAAAGGGGCTGTGCCAGTCGCCCCCTTTGGGCCTGTTACACAGTTAGACTCATTCACATGCTTCCCCCTTCCATTTATTCTACAAGATCATTCTACAATTCATTGTCTATACACGTGGCATCAGACTGGTGGCCGCACCTTTCACCCCCCACCGTGCCCCTCCTCACACGCACTCAGGCGCCCCCAGACACTCCAGCGTCTTCACATCTCCGTGCCTTTGCCCCAGCTCCTCCCTCTGCTCGCCATGCCCTCCTTGTCCCAGGCAGCCTTACACAGTCCCAGAACGTCAGTGACAGCCTTCCTCATGCTCCCTGAGTCAATGCTTATACTTCTGCCCACCACAGTTCACACTCCCCCAGGCAGAGACTGATCAATCAGACTGCAGATTCCTGGAGGGCAGGGCTGGGAATGGTTCAGGTCTGGTTTCAACACCCAAAGTTCTCACTGGATAGTTGACTGGCTCTAGGTAATCCTGCAGGTGAGAGCTGGACCCCAGCTCTGCTCCTCAGCTCTCCCCAAATCGGTGCCTTCCCCTGAAAGGTGGTAGTTAATGGTATGGCCACTGTACAATCTATATCTAGGGAAGCCTATGACCTTGAGCCTGAAATAGAACCCCCCTTGTACCCTCCTTCACTTTCATTTGTCTACTCATCCCTTCAACTGTCAGGAGACCCCAAAGAGACTGTAGTAGCTACGAGCCTGGCCGAGTCATTCCTTGGAGCCAGGGTCCTGGTTTTCTTCCTACCATGCTTCCATGGAACAGCTCGGTGAGGGTCCTCTGGCCCCATGCCCCCCAGGTCTTCTGCAGGACAGCTGAAGAGTCCTCAGGGGTCACCTACTGCCCAGTCCTTCGGAGCTCCTTGCGGGGGGCACTGTGCCTGGGGAACACGGAGCCCTGCGGGCCTGAGGTGAGGGGGTAGAAGAGTGTCCAACCATGTGGCAGCAGTGGCAAGTGGGAGACCTAGGTGGAAGGGGCAAGGAGATGAAAGGTCCTCAGACCACCTTCAATGCACCTTAATTTGTTTGTAGCCAGAACCCAGCCCCAGCAGTCAATATGACCTGTCCAGGGACAGGGCCGCCCTCCTTCTAGCTGTGATGCGGGACCGGCCTGGGGCCCAGCACGATGTGGATGCACTGGGGGACCTGTGCCAGGCCCTGGGCTTTGAGACCACCCTGAGGACAGACCCTACAGCTCAGGTGAGCAGAAGCCCAAACCTCCTGGTGGTGCCCTAAGGGAAGGTATCCCCTACCCCAGGATCCTGGGGCCTCTCTCCTGGGCCTCTTGCCATGGTGGGCAGGAAGTGCACCCCTAAGTCTAGCCTCCATCTTCCCTGCTGCATGAATTGGGAATCCACTTCCCTGCCTCTGGATGCCCAGTCTCCAGGCTTCTAGACTGGCTGTTTCTCGGCTATCCTGCTCAAGGCGCCAGTTGGACCCTCAGGCTTTTTCTGGAAGGGTCTCAGTTTCCTTCCCAGAAACTCATCAACTCACTGCCCTCCCCTCATATTTCTTAACTTTTCGGTGCCAGAGAACCAGCTGCAGAACCAACCACATGTTACCTCCAATGAGGCCATGCCAGGCCTTGCAGCAGGGGTTAGAAGGACTTCCATCCTGGTCCTGAGGCTTGCAGGAGGTGGAATGAAGGGTGGGTGGGGGCTGGGGAAGCCTACCTGGAGGGCCTCCAGGAACCAGAGAGGCAGTGGCTATGGCCCAGGCCTCAATCTTCTTCCCATGTCAGGCTTTCCAGGAGGAGCTGGCCCAGTTCCAGGAGCAGCTGGACACCCGCAGAAGCCCCGTGAGCTGTGCCCTTGTGGCTCTGATGGCTCATGGGGGGCCCCAGGGGCAGCTTCTGGGGGCCGATGGGCAAGAGGTACAGCCAGAGGCACTGGTGCAGGAGCTGAGTCGCTGCAGGGCCCTGCGGGGCTGCCCCAAGATCTTCCTGCTTCAGGCTTGCCGCGGGAGTGAGTGGGGTCTGGGGCTCCCTGGAGGCTTGGCTGGGTCCTGGCCACCAGGCTGACTCATCCTGCCCTAAATTTCCTCACCCAGCCCACCTCCTCTCAGAAGCCTCAGTACTAGCCCTTTTCCTGCCCCCTCTTCCAGTGTCTCCTAGAGGTCAAGTCCATGAACTTGAGCACCCCACCCTCAGCACTTTTCATTGGGTGCTCAGAATGTTTCCAACCTGGCAGGCCTGCCTAGAGTTCTGGGTGCTGGGGACTGGATCCCCGGAGGCACCTCCAGGAATCTGCTGAATGAAAGGACCTGCCTTCCCCCTTCTTCACCAGGACACAGGGATGCTGGTGTGGGACCCACATCTCTCCCCTGGTTCTGGCGCTGGCTGCGGGCAGCACCAGCCATTCCCTCTCACGCCGATGTCCTCCAGATCTATGCAGATGCCCAAGGTGGGTCTATCTTCCTTCTGGAGCCTGGGCTTGGGCAGGGCTGGTTGCGGGGAGCTGTCTGCCCAGAGCACATTCCCTGGGCTTTTAGCTGGGGTCCTGCTGCAACCTCTGTCCTTTCTCTGCCAAGAGGATGGGAAGAAAAAACCATCTTAAACCATGAGGGCTTTTGAAAATCAAGGGCTTCTCCCCTAATTGAACCTTGAAAGAACCCTTGAGTCAGGAAGGCAAAATAGCTTTTCTGAGGTCACACAGCTGGTAAGTGGCAGGGCTGAGATTTGAACTCCGATGTCTCTTTCCTGCTCTGCACTCTTTCCACGGTCTTGTGCTGCCCTTGTGCCAGACTCAGGGAGGCCCTGCGGCTGGCAGAGCCTTGGGATGCTGGGTAAATGGAGTTGATCCCTCTTGCAGGCAGTTCCTTCAGGGGCCCCACTCCAGGGAGCTGTGACCAAGCAGACATCCTAATGGTTTATGCAGCGGCCGAGGGTAAGGGGATGGGCCATCAAGAAGCCCTGTTATACAGGGCCCAGCATCCTGGCTGGAGGTCTGGGGTGATTTTAGTGGCAACTGGGTCTTGGCGTTTGTGGCATAGGGGTACCCATCCGGTTGCAATTAGGCCATTTTCCTTTTATGTTTATTATTTATAATAATAGTAATGCTGGTGAGCATGCATTGCGGGCTGACTGTGCCACGCACTGTACCTGCATCATTCCCTCCAGACTGTAAGTTTCATGAGGGCAGGGCAGTTCTGCCTGTCGCAGGGCTCTGCCCAGTGCCTAGCACATTGTGTGTCCACAGCAAATGTTTTTTCAATATTGAATCCATGATATAGTCACTCCACAAATATTGAGCAACAACTTGTTTTAGAAACAAGAAGTTTCTGCTCCCTGCCTCATTCCCTTGCCTGACTCCCTGGGGTCTTGTATACTTGCCCCCACTTCCACCATCAAGAGGCCTTTGGGGATTGGAATGTAGCTGGTCAGCCAGTCTCATGCTCTGGTTCTGGTTCCCTGGCTTAGGCTGTGTAGCTTATCGGGATGAGAAGGGTTCAGACTTTATCCGGACGCTGGTGGAGGTCCTCAGGGCTGCCCCTGGGGGAGAACTTCTGGAGCTGCTGACTGAGGTGTGTTGGGGGATGTGGGTTGGCCACAGGGAAAAAAGGCTAGAGTCATCCTTCTCAGACAAACACATGATTCCCACAGCAGTTTTGGGTCACGTCCTCCCAGCCTGGGGAGAGTACACAGCCCACCAGGCAGGGACACTCAGGGTTGCACCAGCAGGAGCTGCGGGGTTCACGCTTATAGTAAGGGGGGTGGTGTATATCCTGGTTCCTGCAGGAGGAGGCGATTGGCTTGTCTGAATAGTTTTGCAGGTTGGCAGGGAACTGAAGTCCCTCAGATTGAGGCTGGGGTGGCATGCAGCTGGTCAGGCTGGAGGGGGCGCTAGCTGGTTGCAGAGCCTTTCATGCTGAGTGTGGGGGCATATCTGCCAAGAGCAGGGGGACTCAAGGCTAGTCCTTTGGGGTCCTATGGGGCCCAAAGAAGTCAAGGCAGCTCTCCTTACAATGCACTGGGTGCGAGGCTGGGCACCAGGAAACCCGGCACAGCCTGAGTGTGGTCCTCACAGGTCAATCGTCAGGTGTGTGAGCTGGACGTGCTGGGTCCTGACTGCGATGAGTACCGCAAAACCTGTCTGGAGATCCGCAGCTCGCTGAGGCACCGGCTTTTTCTGCAGCTACCCAGTCGGTGCTGACAGTGGGTGGCCACACCCTGGTGCCACCACTGACTCCACCCACTTCTTGGTTACCTTACCTGTAAACAGGGCATTACAGCAGCGTGCTGGGCTCAGCTGGCAGGAAATAAACATCTGTCGATCACTGCACACATGAATAGTGCCTGCTTTCAGGGAGATGGGAGAGTAAGTGAAATAATGTATGCAAAGTGCCTTCCACTTCGTATGGGCACATTCGTGCCCCGGGGAACCGGATGCTGGGCCTGAGGGAAACAGGTGGTGGGTGGGGTGGGCAGCATCCGAGACTAAGGAACCCAAAATGGGCTAGGCTGGGCTGGATGTCCTGGGAAAGGGGCAGCTTTGGGTACATATCGCTCCCCCAGAGCACCTACACGCTGAGCGCTAGAAAAGCAGGAGACCTGGGCTCCGCCTTCACGGCTGTCACAGTCCAGTTTGGGACCACAGTTCCGGAACAAAGCATTAGCGGTGCTGTGATGGGGAAAGCACAGTGGCCGGGCGAGCGGTGGGCAGCTCCTGACCCAACGCGGGCTGGAAGCACGTGGGGAAGGAGATCCGAAGGGACCTCTCCGGACAGGGTCTCACCCAGGGCCAGACCGGGTCTCGAATTTGCAACAACACGATCGCGTGGATGGTCCTCCGGCCAGCTGAGCTAAATCGAGTGGAGTAGCCTAGCTCAGAGCCCCGCCCACGTGGAGCTCGAAGCGGGATGGGGGAGAGCAGAACTCCTATCCACTCTGAGAACGCACATTAATGCATGCCACGCAGGCGCTTAGACAAGCTTTATGGAAAAAGCTGTACAGCACTTTTTCCACAGGGCCGCGTGGCCTAATGGATAAGGCGTCTGATTCCGGATCAGAAGATTGAGGGTTCAAGTCCCTTCGTGGTCGCTGTTGAGGTTGGTTTTTCTCCCTTTGCTGAAAATTTTCCTCCTCTCTGGACAGCTCCCTACGCGGTTCTAGGACACGCTGGTGGGAAGAAGCCAGACAACTGCGGGCCCTGAATCCACCGGCCCAGGGGCCGGGGAGCCCACTGGAAGTTTTTTTACATGAAATATACTTCAGACGAAGAAAACCGTGACAGACGAGGGTTGGGACTGTTGGGGTACGGGTCGGGTAGGGGAGTTGCCCTAGGATGCATATTAAAATGTAAGAGATTATTGCGAGGAAAAAGCTTTGGAAATAGCAGTTGCACAATATTGCAACTGTAACTGATGCCACTGAATCGTACATTTAAGAATGGTTAAAATGGCAAGTTTAATGTTATATATATTTACCACAATAGAGTATGTTTAGGAAATCTAATACATTATTTACATTTCTTGCACTGAGAATGCACCCTTAAATTAGTATGTGAATGTATATATTAAAATTTAAATGTGAAGAGTATGCCCAGGATTGAGTCATCGTTTTATCCAGGAAAAATCTCTCTACCTGCGGAACCGAGTTCTCTCCAAGGGATTCTGGCTAAGCGAGTGTTACCAAGGTGATGAGAACTTCCCCCAGCAGGAGAATGTCAGGAGGGCGCTACGAGAATGGCACCCCGATGGCCGGCGCAGCTGACTTGGGGTCATGTGGAATATCACTTTCTCTTATACATTTTGGTGAAGTTTCAGTGGTTTATTGAGGGCTCATAAATATAAAGAAGAAAAATGTCATTAAGATAAACATTTTAAAGATGGGAAAGAACACCCATCTTATGGCAAGAAAGTAAAGGCTGGGTTCTCTGGTGATATTAGAGTCTCATGTTCTGCTACTGAGCTAGCCCGGCAGATACAGAGCCATTATGGAGAGTCCTGAGGACAAAGACCTAAGGCTATTGGGCTCAGCTAAAAACCGTGGAGACCTGGGCCCGGGGAACACTTTGGGTTTAAGGGGCCATGTGGGGAGTACGAAGGAGACAAAGACCTGTACCGTTTCCAAACCTCTGATTGTTTCCCCTCTCCTCTGGCTCTCACATGTTGCATTTGCAAATGCCTTCCTACTGCTAGTTATCCCAGGACTCGGATTTTCCTAAAAGGAAGAGGGAAGAGTTCTTCAGAGATTAATCCCCTCACTTCTTGCACCCTAAATGAGGATCGTATCCCAATCCAATGAGTCGAGTTAACGCCTGCTGCTCCAGGTCTTTGGGCTCGGTCCCCACGTGCACAGTCTCTTCTGTACCAAGGGTGTCGCAAAAGATCTGAGAAGGAGTGCGGACTGATAGTGGAAGTGGAGAGGCTGAAGAAAAGCTGGGATCAAACTAGAGGACTGTATATAACCTACAGGAAACACGAGGAGAGATGATTGAGAGACTGCCCTAAGATTATTGCAGGACTGTGCTTGTCAGCCCCGGTGGCCTAATGGATAAGGCATTGGCCTCCTAAGCCAGGGATTGTGGGTTCGAGTCCCACCTGGGGTATGGAGGGTTGAGTTTTAATCCACCCCCAATGGTGAAAAGTGAACAGAAGATTACCCACACCTGATAGAAAAGAAACTAAGGGTTTTTATGGCCCAGACCCACCTCTCATCTCAACTTGGTGAGTTCTTACTTTCTCAAAAGGGTTGTTACACACTTTCAGAGTAAATGCTGGCTTCATTTATCCCATTTTAATGACCATCTGTTCTACTTGATGATATAGGAATCATTAATTTTTCTAGGTGTGTTAATTGTATTGTGGTTACATATATTTTTAAAAGTCCTCACATTTTATAAACACAATTATTTAGAGATTCAGTTATATGACAACTGGTTTGACTTTAATGGGCTAGGTGGTAACTATAGTTAATAATACTGTATTGTATACTTGATATTTGCTACAAGAGTAGATCGTAAGTGTTCTCACACACAAAAAAGGTAACCGTGAGCTGCTAGATGTGTTCATTAACTTGACTGTGGTGAATATTTCACAATGTATATGTATATCAAATCATCACTATGCACCTTCAAGATATATCATTTTTATTTGTCAATTATTCCTCAATAAACCTGGAAAAAATATAATGAGCTGAATGGAGGTATAGACAAAATAAGCTTATCCATTAGTTGATAATGGCTTAAGCTGGGGGACATGGGGGCACGTTATAAAATTTTCTGTGCTCTAGTGCATGTTTGAAATAATTTATGAGGAAGTGGTTTTTTTTTTTTTTTTTTTTAATCCAAGCAATCCATATAAAATTCTCCCAAACTACAGGACATAACAGAATAAGATCAGAAGCCTCCTGTATATACCACATGCCTGAAGAGGAGATGACCACTGGAGCTTTGCCATACATATATACAAAAACATAGTTCTCTCTTTTTAAAATTTTTATTTATTGATTTTGAGAGAGAGAGATGGAGGGAGAGCTAGAACAAGCTATCAATTTGTTGTTCCACTTATTTATGCATTCATTGGTTGATTCTTGTATGTGCCCTGACCAGATATCGATATTGGGATGAAACTCTAACCAACTGATATATCTGGCCAGGGCCAAACATTGTTCTCTTTTACCTTTAAAAACCATGAATGGGACTCCTGTGTTTCTCCAGCTCTGGCCTTACTTCTCCCCTTTTCCTAAACACCCGGGACCCCATCATCCCTACTGAAATCATGGACCTCATTTCAATGCAGTATCACCCACAATCATCCATGGCCTGAGAGGGATGAACACAGAGCTATCTCAGGATGCAGGTGCTTCCCTCATGCATGTGGTCTCTCAATGCCTCATTGATGGGAGTGTCCTCTGGGTTCTCCCAGTCTTTGGATTCCTTTCTCTACATGCTGCTAGAGACATTCTCGCATTTTAATGTCATTAAACCCAGGCCACCACTGAATTCAGTGCTCAGCCAACCAACCAAGAAAACTGGCAGAACCATATTCAGCTGCATAGATAACATGCTAAATACAGGCTTTCTGGAAATTGTACCCAAATCAATAAATTCACCAGGTGCAAAATTATATCCCACATTCTTACTCTTAACACCCTTAGATCCATTTTCACACATATTCTCCAGGTTTTTGCTGGCACAAATGAGCAAAACTTGCAATTCTTTTGGCATATAAGCTATTTCCTCCTGGGTTAGCATTTGTACTCACTGCCTGAAGCATGCTGATCTGACTAGTTATGAGGCAAGTGGGAACTCGGGTGGTTGGTGCGGGCTTTGAGGAGAACTGGCATCCTCTTGCAAGACAACTGCTCCAGGTGAGATTATTATAGGATATTCAAACACAGGAAAGCTACTCTCTTCACATACCAGAGGATGGGCCGCTTTAGAAGTTGGTTAAAGATTCTCAACTTTGTCTGAACTCAACCAGATGTCCTCAAGACTTTGACTCTACTCCTTCATAATCACTGTCATTTCTTCCACACGAAAGATTTCCAGAGGCTATGAACTCCATTTACATTGTCATTCTGCAACATGCATAATTCAATTATGTAATGGATTTTTAAACAACATTAGACCTGCAGCTATAAGATTATTTTATGGCTATCATAAAATGCCCCCGCATTTGAACGTGACTTAGGCTGAAAGTATAAAGGCCTGATCTTGTCATTTTCTTTGACAAGCAAGCCAGTACACTCAGAATCCTTTCTATGCCACAGTCCTTGTAGTCACCTTTACTGCCATAACAGTCAAGGGCAGCAGTCATGTGGTCCCCCAGGGTACTTGTTTCAGTCAGCACTTTATCATTATCAGCCAGGTGATACATGGCTTGATCACGATGCTACCAGGTGCCATAATTACCAGTCTCCCATTTCGTGTTGACAAGGAGCTCAGTACTGTGTTCAAGCTCAAGTTCATTACTGAGCCAGAATGAGCAGTCAGAATACCATCCATTGGGGGGTGAGGGAAATGGAGAAAAGTTGGTAAAAGGTACAAACTTTTAGTCACAAATTGTGGGGATCTAATGTATAGAATGGTGACTACAGTTAGTAATAACATATTGCATACTCGAAATTTCCTGAGAGTAGATCTTGTGTTCTCAACACACTGATGGTAACCATGTGAAGTGATGAATATTTTATTTTATTTTTTTATTTATATATATTTTTATTAATTTGGCCTCTCCATTTCCTATACTATTTTTTAAAAAAAATCTTATTTATTTTTAGATAGAGGGGAAAGGAGGGAGAAAGGGAGGGAAACATGAATGCATGGTTGCCTCTCACGCGCCCCCTACTGGCGGCCT